CATCAAAGTTTCATTTGGGAAGATACTAGCATAAACAAAAAATGCCACATAACTCTTTTGTTAATTACTTGAGCCTCGTGTTGTGTCCTTCTGAGCTCTTTTGTCCTGGAATTCTGAAAATTATAATTTGTAATATATATGTATTATATATGTACATGTACATGAGCATGCACACATACTATTTTTACATTTTAAATGTCTTGAAATGGAAACTAGCCAAAACTAGCAATCAAAAATATCATACAAGTAACATGTATTTTCACTTATGATTCAAATAAAATACATTGTTCAGTTAAAAATTAATATATTTTTAGTGCTGCTTCTTTTTGATTCACAAGATTTTCTTTAGATAAATCAATACCAGGTTTTTAAAAAGTGTTTTGTTTGTTTCATGTCACTTAAAAGAGAAACATAGAAAATAGCATGCAATTATATCATTTTTGTATTGTTACAGATATTTAGGTCCAATTACTTTTGATCACTTAAGCTGTGAACAGAGAGACCAGATTATGTGAAAATTACCTGGACCAAGTTGAGTCTTGTCATAAGACACAATCTAATTACATTTTAGTTTTAAAAAATGACTCTAAAGCTACAGAGTACAAATAATAAGCAGTATATATACTTATTATGATTTTATTCAGGGAGACCTAATTTTTTCAAATCTTAACAACAGATCAGTTTTTAAAAGGAACTATTAAAGGAGCAGTAGGTTATGGGAACCTGGCAGTCTAAGGAGAGAGCAATTACGAAAAGTTAGGTTAGAAGAGGAGACTGGATATTATTTAAGGAATCTGTTTAGTTTTAGTCCCATGTAGATTTATCTGCATTGAGGTGAATATAAACTTGGGGAAGAGGTCTTTGTCACTGAGATTTAGAAGTATTAATGGTCGATGATGAAGAAACGCCCTAGAGAAAATATTATTAGCCAGTCATTTTGGATTATAACAAGTACAGACTGGTTGACAATCAGATTCTATAGATGGCCTCTTAATTTGCAAAATATGTCTTTCCCTAAAATTTGAATTGCCAACTTTTCAGAAGTGGGCTATACCACTTATAATAACTTCAGATAGATAGATAGATAGATAGATAGATAGATAGATAGATAGATAGATAAGTAAATTCCAGTTATTAATGGTAATGGGTGCATTGCAGCCTGAAATAGAGGAGGGGCAGAAAGAACCCTCTATCCACGTACTTCTCCAGAACATATTCATTTCAGTTTATTGCACATCTGAACTTATTAGTCATAATGGAATTACCTTAACAAGAAAATTCTATTTTTTCTCCAAATACTGACCATGTAGTTGGCCTGCAAAATACAGTGAAATTTTCATGGAAGAGAAAACCTTGGCACTGACTTTTCTGCATAGCGTCCCTGGATGAAATGCTGGGATGGGTGGCTGAGGGAAGGTTGGAAGCTTTAAGGAAGCCATAGGCTGAAAGACAAGTCACATGGTTTTGCTTAGGTTCCTAGAAGCCTTTGAAACTACTGAAAACCAACTCATGTGTTCTGTTGACATTTAGACAGGAGTGTCTGTGCTGGTCGAGTAGACTCTTACATATGCTTGCATTTTAAGTCTTACCCCTCTGCATCTGCTTTGATGCCATTAAGGTTTAATTTAAAATTTGGATCCGCTATTCAAATAAAACTAATAGAACTAAAAATGTGGGGATTCAATTACAATCTTGTAGGTCATTGTTAATTTCTGTTTGAATTGTTGTATTTCTTACTCCAAAGAAATAAAAGAAGAGGGTTCATAAGTTTTATCACAAACTTGGTAACTATTTTTGGAACTTATCATATCCACTGAAGACTGGAAGTTTCTTAAGTTTCTTTTTGTCAGGAAGATGTGTAATTATTTATTTATTTATTTATTTATTTTTGAGACAGAGTCTCACTCTATCTCTCAGGCTGGAGTGCAGTGGCATGATCTCGGCTGATTGCAGCCTCTGCCTCCTGGGTTCAAGCGATTCTCCTGCCTCAGCCTCCTGAGTAGCTGAGATCCAGCTAAGTTTTGTATTTTTATTACTTATGGGGTTTTGCCATGTTGGCCAGGCTGTTCTCGAACTCCTGACCTCAAGTGATCTGCCTGATTTGGCCTCCCAAAGTGCTGGGATTACAGGCATGAGCCACTGTCCCTGGTCAGGAAGATGTGTAATTTTGTTTGTTGATATAAGTATATTAGGTAATGAGTGATGTTTCAAATAAATAATAAATTGTATTAACATAAGAAGTTGATAGATACAGACAATCTTCTACTTTTGTATGTGATTCATACCAAAAGTTGAATAAATGAAGATTAACATACATGTTAAATGAGGGAAGAGCCTTGCTGTCAGAGAGCTAAAAAATTTTAAAATCAGTTATAGGCTGGTGTGGTGACTCACACCTGTACTCCTAGCACTTTGGGAGGCCAAGGTGGGTGGATCACTTGAGGTCAGGAATTCAAGGACCAACCTGGCCCACATGGTGCAATCCCGTCTATACTAAAAATACAAAAATTAGTTCAGTGTGGTGGTGCGTGCCTGTGGTCCCAGCTACTTGGGAGGCTAAGGCAGAAGAATTGCTTGTACCCGGGAGGTGGAGGTTGCTGCGAGTCAAGATCGCACCACTGCACTACAGCCTGAGCAACAGGGTGAGACTCCATCTCAAAAAAATAAAAATAAAAGTAAAAAATAAAATTAAAATATTAAATATGTTTTTTTTTTTTTTTGTGTGTGTGTGTGTGTGTGTATATATCCTCACACAACCAGTTGAGGTTGAAGATAGACTGATGTTTTAGGACAAATTTCTATCATTGTATCAATTCTACTAAGGCAATCACATTTATGCTTTTTTTTCCAAGTACCAGCAATTTTGCTTTTCCAATCCATAACCATTGTTGTATAAGATAAAAAAGGGGGCCGGGTGCAGTGGCTTACACCTGTAATTCCAATACTTTGGGAAGCTGAGGTGGGAAGATCACAAGGTCAGGAGTTTGAGACCAGTCTGGCCAATAAGGTGAAACCCTGTCTGTACTGAAAATACAAAAGTTAGCTGAGCATGGTGGCAGGTGCCTGTAGTCCCAGCTACTCGGGGGCTGAGGCAGGAGAATTGCTTGAATTTGGGAGGCGGAGGTTGCAATGAGCCGAGATTGTGCCACTGCACTACAGCCTGGGTGACAGAGCGAGACTCTGTCTCAAAAAGAGAAAAAAAAAAAGCAAAATGCAGTTAAATATTCAAATACAGAGTTAGACTGACACTACTACTATACAGATAAATGTGAAAAGTCTGTCCAACAGAACCATTGTGTCTTAGCTGATAGCATGTTGACGATCTCTTAAATGGTCAAACATAAACTGATGTTAAAAAAGGAGAGATGGAGGCCGGGCAGGGTGGCTCACACCTGTAATCCCAGCACTTTGGGCGGCCGAGGCGGGCAGATGATGAGGTCAAGAGATTGAGGCCATCCTGGCCAATATGGTGAAACCCTGTCTCTTCTAAAAGTACAAAAATTAGCTGAGCATGGTGGTGCTTGCCTGTAGTCCCAGCTACTCGGGAGGGTGAGGCAGGAGAATTGCTTGAACCCAGGAGGCAAAGGTTGCAGTGAGCAACCTGTACTCCAGCCTGGCGGCAGAATGAGTCTCTGTCTCAAAAAAAAAAAAAAAAGGGGGGCCGGGGGAGAGAGGTATGTCAATGTATCTATCAAAGTACCCACTACTAGAAAGTTGTCCCAGTAAGTGTTTATGGTTTCAAATAATAGAGTGGCAAGCTGACTTAAACAGCAGACATATTTATTGAAAGAATAATACGTTGGCTATTCACAGAACTAAGAACTAAACTTAAAATCACATTAAGAGCCAGGCTGGGGAGGACACTCTTGCCACCATCCCTGAACAGAAACATCATAGTTTACATTGCTACCTGTAGCTACTATTTCTGCCCCTAAAACAAACTGGCTATTGCTGCCCCGATGTTGCTGCCATGGCCAGGGTGGCTCTGTCACTATCCTTGCTTCTCTAGGTCATTAGTTCAGGATTAAAAACCCAAGGCAGGTCCATCTCTGATTGGCTAAATGAAACTGTTTGGCCAAGTCCCAGGTGCAAAGGAGGCAGGGAAAACAATTTTTTGATTTCTCTACTTGGATGTGAACATTGACATTCAACATAGTGTATATCTTGGGAAATTCTCCAGACATAGAAAGATATTTTAACGTACAACAACAAATAAATAAAACCATGACAAACGTCCACTATAAAATTTATCTAACTGCAATTAAGTACTTCTTGATACTATCTCCAAACACTCTTCTGCAGAAACCTGATTGCTCTAATCAGCCAAATTAAGTAGACTCAACTCAGTTAAAGAATGTGATAAAGGAAAAGTACCTGCCTATTGGTTTGCTTGTCAAGACATGATAATAGTTAAGTAATTATTTATTTGGTGTAGATGTAAATTAGATGGTGAGAGTGGAGACCGTGGAATGATATGTCCTTTATGGTGGAATATTTTAAATAAACGGCAGTTCAAAAGTCCATGTTGGTCTGCCCTACTCACTCTTTAAGAGACTATTATGTTTCATGAGAAAATAATTAACTATATTGTCTGTCCAAGAGCAAATGTAATATCTAAAAACAATTATTTAGTGCTTACTGTGTGCATGCCATTGCAGTGTTGCTTATAAGATAAACATTTTGATATCTGAGCACTGCCACTCTTTGCCTTCCTGCGCGTATTGCTTTTAATCAGCTTGGCAGGATAAAGTGTTGCTTGTGGAAAGTAATTACAGGTTTTCAGTGGAAATGACAGTGTAAAGCCAGATAGATAGTGTTTGTCATGCTGGAGAGTATACTAAAAGCATACACAAACTCTGGGCTCTCTGCAGAAAGACCCCTTCCAGAGATAATGATAGATCTGCTTTTGGGACTGATAGAATCAGAGAGCAATCTGATAGGGGGTTTCACATTCACCTTGGGTGAACAGCTGTGGTATCTATTCAAGAAGATCAGAGAAGTTAAAAAGAAAGTGTTAAATAATGGGCAAACACTGCTGGGCACATGCTCTGAGATGGATCTGAATTTTAAAAAGGAGTTATAAAAGGGGGAGTGGTACTGAAATTCTGAATACTTGGGAAAACAGTTCAAATGTGGTATTGTTTCCAGTTCTTTTTAGGGAACTACGTGACAGAGGCAAGGATCTTGCTGTAGGTTCTAAGTAAATTTTGATCTTTAATTGAAGTGATAAATTTATGCTGTGATTTAATTGGCATCACCGTATAGCTGACTGCTTGATGGAAAAAGCTGTGCATTGTACAGCAGTCTATATATTTCATATCAGATTTACTTAGTGCTTGCATATGAGATTGGTTCATGAGGAAATTACTTTCACTCAGTATACTTTTGTTGCTGCATGCTTTAGGTCATACTGTGTGACCCTGCAGATAATAAAATTTGGCTTGTTTTATTTTATTCCTTTCAGTTATGTCATTTTTATGAATGCATGGAACAAAATGTATTGACCATTATTCATTCATTCATTCATAAATACCTGTATTGAACACGTATTTATTTATTGGGTGCTTAATGTATGTCAGACACTGATTTAGGAGCTAGAACCAACAAAAAAATAATTGCCTCCCCTCATAGAGTTTGTAATATAGTATTCTTTTGAGTGTGGAAGTGTATTGTATTCATATGAGCCCCTGTACATTGTTCAATATAGATATGGTGCTTCCCATATTGCTTCCCCTTTTTGCACTTAAATAAGGATAACCTAACAGTGATTGACTCAGTGAATGAGAAAACATTACTGATTAGAAATGTAAGAAGAAAACTTGGAGTGTGCAGTGTCTATAACCCAAGAGTGGAGACAGTGTAAAGAATATGTGATGGTCAGCAACTTAAATGAAGCATTTACTCTATGATTCATTTATTAAGAAAACATTTCATGAATTTTTGCTATTTCTAGGATCTAGGGATACAGTAGTTACCAAGACAGGCAAGTTTCCAGATGGTAATTTTATGTTTACAAAGTAAAGTAAATATGCAATAAAGAAAATAATAGCTTTTTATAGTATAAAAGTACTGTGAAGATTGGAAATCTGGGGAACATAGTTTTTAATGTATTGCCAAGGCATGCTACTTTGAATTTGGTGGTCAAAAGATCCTATCAGTTACTAGAGAGGAAGATACAGTGGTGAAAGGAGCCATGAGCAGATGTGAAAATGCCATTCTAGGAAGAAGGAGGGGTTAGTGCGTAGGCTCTATGACAGAAGGAGCTGTTTGTGTTCTAAGATCAGGAGGGTCACTGTGATTGGAGCTTAATGAGCAAGTGCAAGAGTATATAAGGATAATTCAGAGGGTCAAATGACATATGGTCTTGTAGAAGAGCAGTCACAATGTGTTATAATGACTGGGATTATTTCTTCAGTAGAAAAATTACATTCTCATTGTTAAGAAACTGGTAATATGAGTAAGTACAAAGGGAAAAATAAAGCATATTCTTAATTCTACACCTAGGTATAAACATTATCAACATCAAGAAGCTTTTATTTTCATTCTTCTTTCTTTTCTTTTATACTCATGTGCACCTGTATGCAGGTGAAATACATGTGTACACTTATGCATGCATATGCACACAACTTTTATTAAATAGGAATTATACCCTTCACTTGCAATTAATATATTCGGAATGTTTTCCTATTTCATCAAATATAAAAATGAAATAAAATAATACAGGCACGGTAGGGCGCACTTGTGGTCAAAGCTACTTGGGCGGCTGAGGCAGGAGGATCGCTTGAGGCCAGGAATTCAAGACCTCAGTGTGCTATGATCACATCTGTGAATACCTACAGCCCAGGCAACATAGCAAGATCCTGTTTCTAAAAATAATAATAAAATAGAAAATGTTATAGATAAGATATACCATCATACATAATAAATAATATATAAAATAGAATCATAATGGCAACATCATATGTATATGCCAGTACCTATGACTAATTTAGAAGAACTGCAGTTTTTAATACCACAAATATCAATCCTGTAAACATTTTTATATAGAAATATATGTACAAATTTCTTATTTCCTTAGCATAAATTCTCAAAGTTGAACTATATCAAAAGGTATGTTATTATTATTTAAAAACTATGAATAGAGCTTGCCAGATTATTCATCTGGAATTTTTTAGGAGTTTATGATAGCGTGTTTCTATCTCCTCTTCAACACTGGATATTATTTTTTTAGGCAATGAAGTTGATAGATTTTTTTTTAATTTAACTTTATTTTGTGATTTTATTTAGAACGTATCAAACTTGTTTATTAGATAGTAGTATTAGTTCTTTATTGCTACATTTCTTTATTGCTACATATAATGGTTTACCTCAAAACAAAGTGGCTTAAAGTAACAAACATTTCTCATTTCATAGTTTCCGTGGGTCAGGAAATTAGGAGTGGCTTACCTGGGTGAGTCTTTCTCATGGTTTCTTAGGTGGTGCTTCTCTGATGGCTTGCCTGGTGCTGCAAAATCTACTTTTTAAATTTTCACTATGCACTTTTTTTTTTTTTTTTTGAAATGAAGAAAAACAATGTTATTTATAATAGCAACAAACAGAAACATTCAGAAATAAGTTTACCAAAAGAAGTACTAGGATATTACACTTATTTTTTTTTTTTCTTGGTAGTACCTTTATTCTTTTGTTTTCAGAAGATCCACTTTTAAGGTGGTTTGTTTACATGGCTATTGTCAGGAGACTTCAGTTTCTTGCCACTTGGGCTTCTTTCCACATGGTCTGACCATGGTAGCTAACTTCCCAAACAATGAGCAATTCAAGAAAGCACAAGGAGGGATTCACATTACCCTTTACAACCTAGTCTCTTACGTTGGGTGCTGTCTTTTCTAGTTTATGCTATTTGTGAGAAGTGAGGTGCTATATCCAGCCGACTACTTGAAGGAAGATGTATCAAAAGATTTGTAGACATATTTTTAAGCCATGAGAGTAATTTTTTCCAACTTCTCACTGGCATATTAGAGGGTGTTGAACACATTACTACAACTATTATTACTATTGGATGACTGATGTCACCACTGGACTACCTTTAGTACAAAAATTCCTCAATAAGGGCTATTTTACATTTTTGTCATATATCCCAATACTCTTGCTGTCAAAATTCTTCCTTTCTAAAAGCTGTAATGCTACAATTTAGATTCTATTTATGTTTTATAGAATATCTGTCTTTTAGAGATTATGTTGAGAGAAAAAAATCTGTCAGAAGTTTTCTCTCATAAATTAATCATTTTGGGTTTCAACTTAATTGAGCTTTGACTTCTGTAAATTTATTTTTCCTTTATTTTAGTACTGTTTGGATTGCTAGTCCATTATCTACTGTCTAGGATTATAAATATTTTTTATTTTGAAAAAGTTGACATAGATTCAGAAAAGAAGAAAGTGATTATTAGAGTGTTCCATTGTAATTAGCTGCTTTCCTGGTCTAGCCATTCATCCGTCATCTACTGTCTATCATTATAAACATTATTTATTTTGAAAAAGTTGAAATTGATTCAGGAAAGAAAAAAATGATGATTTAAGTTTTCCATTGTAATTAGCTGCTTTGCTGGTCCAGCCATTTACCTTACTCTTGATGCCTGTTTATCTCCTTGGCTCTAATTAATAACTGTGCATCTAAAGCTTATTTTTTTCTAAACTTCCAAATGGAAATAATACAATAGTGTACTACTTGTCATACATAAAAGGGATAATATATATACTCAAAAATATGGCATGATGGTTATTGCTTTGTTAATGGTGGCGGTTTTGATGATAGTTGGAGAATCACAATCAATAAATTAGAAATTAGCAAGCATGTGTGAAATCTGACCAGTGATAATGGGTTCACTTGTGGATGGTAGAAAATGAATAAAATTATAATTAAAATCTTTCTATTTTAATGAAATAACTATATATATTTAGATGATGGAGATAAAATTTGATAAAGAATCAAGAGAATTTATTCATTTACTGCATGTAGGGGAGAAATAATAAAAATGAATGACTCAGGTTTTCAGATCGAATGACTGTGTGCATCATGGTATTTGGACTAGAGAGGATCTAGGTTCTAGAGAAAGCGGTACTTTCCTTTTCTAAATGATGAATTTGAGGTGATGGTAGACTCTATTGCTGTAGCTGTCGAACAGCAAATGGAATTAGAAGATTGACACTTCTGAGAGAGAGGATGGTAGTGGATGTGTACTTTCATTTAGGTGATAGTTGACATGAAAAAAGCAAGAGCAGAGGCCTGAATCTGGGGTTAAAACACTGTATTTATAGAGTGGAAGAATGAATAGAGCCAGGGTCTCATGGGAATTATGACATTCATTTGTCATCTGATGCAGCGCAGTAAGGAGTTTGGATAAAGAAGTAATTTGTTGTTAAATAAGGAATACAGTTCAAGAAAGATGATTATGGAGAAAATACAGTTAGTTTGAAATGGGACTTAAGAGTAGTTAGACAAAGGCCATAATGAAATAAGTTAAATAACGAGTGAAACACAAAGAAGTGGTTAGTTGGAGTTTAGTAATGACGACTTTGAAAGAGTCTGTGTAGAATTCACAACTTAAAAAAGAAGATTGAAAATGTGGATAGAAGAGAGGAGCTAGTATATGGAGAAACCGGAACTTAAATACATTAGATGTGTGGATATCCATTTCACCAAAACCATTTTGGAAGATTCTTTGGCAGTACCTACCCTACAATCCGGCAATTCCTAGGGTATTTCCAACAGAAATGAGTACATGTTTCCCATCAGATACACATTTTTATTCACAATAGTCCTTAACTGGTTACAACACAAATGTCCTTTAAAGAAAGATTGGATAAATAAACTGAGGTATATACATACATAGTAAACTGCACAGCAATAAAAAGAACAAAATACTGCTGTACACAGCAACAATTATATATCTCACAACTATAGTGATGGGCCAAAGAGGCCAGATGGAGAAGACTACATGTTATATGATTCAATATATATGAAGTAAAGGAGTAAGTAAATTAGCCCAAACTAATTTATAGTAATAGAAGTCACAACAATAGCTACCTTTTGGGTTTGGGGAATAGCCAATGACTCAAGAGCATGAAGATGTGTGGATAAATACTAAAAAAGCAAAACCAAAAACAAAGCATTAACAGTGCATGTCAGAAATAGCTGAGGAGATAACAGCTAAAGAATTTAGTTAGATAGAAAGCCAAATTATGGGCCTATAAAGCTGGAATTCAAGATACGGAAACCAGAAGGGCAGAGCAATGATGCAGAACTATGTAACAAAATAAGGCATTGGAGTCTTTCTTGTTTGTTCTTTGTATCCTAGATGCCTCAGCCTCCAATGGTGCTTGCTATTACAACACAGAAAAACATTTGAGTGATTTTAGAGATGGTTTTTTTGTGAATATGTCAGTAAAGTTTGTGGTGACTATTGATAACACTGTTCATCTACTGAGGCACTTTAATAATAACAAAAGTGAACTGGAGCTTGAAAAAATCTCTGTGACATTGGAAGAGGAGAGAATGTAAATGAAGGGATTAATTCTTGTCTGCCACTTTCTTGCTGGTGTTGCTGATGCCTCAATCATTCGCTCAGAAAATGTTTACTAAGTACCTCTTACGTTCTGGACATTAAGCTAGGTACAAAGGATATAGAGTTGAAAGACAGTGTCAGCCTTAAGGACCTCACAGTCCAGTGGGGAAAATTGTCAAATAAACAAGTAATTCCTATAGATGAACAAGTACCACAGAAGCATATAGATGAGTTCTTTGACTCCTTAGGTAAAGAAAATATTCTAGAGAATTTCGGGTAGTACACAATGCAAAGTTATGAAGCATGAAGAAAATGATGAGACATGAGGCTGGAAAAGTAGGTAGAGGTCAGTAATGAAGGGTCTTGTATAGCATCTGCCCTTGGAGTCCTTTACACTTAAGAGTGGGCACACCTGGATTTGAATTCTATGGCTTTTCTGTAAAATGTATGAAAAAAAAGGAGAATAAGATTGGTATTTTTGTAAATTTACATTGGCAGTTCTACGGGGTGTATGAGTCACAGGGGTTCAAAATCAGATGCAGGAAGCTACCAAGGAGACTATTGCAGAAATTCAGGATGGTGCAGATAGCTTAAAGGGAAACAGTTCTGCAAATAGAGGCGATGGGAGATACAGGAAAGAGGGACTATGTGTAGGTCTTGTTGCATCGCTGAAGGTGAGCGTTGATAGAAAAGAAGACGTCTAGGTTTCAGGTTTGCGTAACCAAGAAAGAGTATACAAGAGGGGCATCAACTTTCTTTTTAAAATTGTTTGCACTTGCTGTCAATTTTTCTATGCCATTTCATCATCTGCTCCTGCTCTGGCCAGAACCACTGTCTTTTCAATTTCCTGTTGCCAGCCTCTCTTGTACATCGGGAGCTCTGGATTAAAGCTTCCCAGCCACCCTTTGCTTCCTTATCTTTTTCCTGTCTTATGCTATTTAGCAGCCTTTTTGGATTTACTGTCTTGGAAAGGCTTCTTGTCATTGTATTCTATTCAACATTCTTAATTGTGTCTTATTTTTTTGGTCTCAGGTGTCTCTCAAATTCTCTTTCCATTCCTACTTTCTCTAGAGCACAATATAGCTTTTCATGCAAGACAGCTTGCTCCACATAGCCCAAATAATTTCTCAACATTTTTCCCAACCATGGCCCACACATCCCCAATAATTAACTCTTCTGTTTGGATATTTCTGGTTTTGGTTGAATAAGAAGAAGTGAAGAGAAGAAAAAAAAAGGACTATGTGTAGTTGGAGGGAGAGTGGATGACTTGGTTGTCCCCAATAAATTTTTGTAATTAAATAAACATTAAACAGCATATTTCAGACTGTCTCCATAATACCTTTGCTGGCTGTTTTATTTATTTTCCTAAAATAACCTTTAAAGGTTAATATCATACCTGTGATATATTATGCTCAGTTAAATGTTTACTGAGTATTTAATATTGAAACATTGTCGTAGACATTTACTGTGGAATTTCCTTTAAAAAAGACACATTTTAACTTTGATGCAATTATTGCACTGTGTTATCTGAACAATTTTAATTTTTCTAAACTCCACTTCTATTTCACAAATGCTTTTGTGTAAAAGGATAAAAACAAAACGCTATGCCAAACAGATTTTTCTTCTGCCTATGTAAAATATTTAAGTAACTTAATTTACCAAAAGTAGTAAAATAACTGTTAATTATTTATATATTTTGTTGTCCAAATAGGCAGCTTGTAGAGTCTGTAGGTTTTCTGTTTTATTTTGTTTTTGAGACAGAGTCTCGCTCTGTCACCCAGGCTGGAGTGCAGTGGCACGATCTCGGCTCACTGCAAGCTCTGCCTTCCGGGTTCACACCATTCTCCTGCCTTAGCCTCCCGAGTAGCTGGGACTACAGGCGCCCACCACCACGCCTGGCTAATTTTTTTTTGTATTTTTAATAGAGACAGGGTTTCACCGTGTTAGCCAGGATGGTCTCGATCTCCTGACCTCGTGATCTGCCTGCCTTGGTCTCCCAAAGTGCTGGGATTACAGGCGTGAGCCACCGCACCTGGCCGAGTCTGTAGGTTTAAGGGCTTTCAAAAGCTTTCATTTCTTCAATTCAGGAAGACAATCATGGTTGCTGTTGTAAATGAGGAAAAGTATGAGGTGATAGTTAAAAAGAAGGATTCTGTTTAGAACCCTTGGAGTCAAAGAACTTCCAGGCTGGTGGGAGAAATAGACGAGCACTGAATAATGCTATATAGTAATACCATATTATACAATTAGGTACTACAATCGAAGGTCTTCAGATGAATTGTTAGCAAACAAATTATTCTGAGCTGTTTTCCTGATTTGAATTTCATTTCATTTGGTTCTGAGGCATAAATAATCGTGACACTTATGAACTGTAAGGTTATATTTATATCAGAAAGATCAATAAGCAAAAGATTAGCAATCTGAAGAAAAATGGGCAAAGTGTAAGTAAAGGGATTTTATACACGCACACTCACACAAGTGCACATATAAAAAGTGCTTATCCTTTAAATCTAAACATTAGTATAGCCCTTTTCACAAATATAGTTTTTCACTGAAAAATAAATGCTATTTTTATAAAGAGTCATTTTAAGATTGTGATATTTGTCTTGAATCTATTTGAATCTAAATTGATCTGCCAGTTTTAAGAAGGCTATATTCTGTACACATTCATGGAAACTTCTAGGCAAGTGTTTGAAAAATGATATAATTTTAAGATAGATTCATCTTTGAGACTTTTGCATAGAGTCCAAAAGATTTTTTGATGGATAAAAATTTTTCAGAAGTAGTTTGTCCTGTGATTGAAATGGATATATCAAGCAAATCAAATACTTTTTAGATTCAGTCTTCTTTAAGATACTATAGTTCTTCTTACAGTTTAACTGGGCATAGGAAAATGTCAAACACATTTTTGTTAAGAATTAATTGAGGCTGGACGCGGTGACTCACCCCTGTAATCCCAGCACTTTGGGAGGCAGAGGTGGGCGGATCACCTGAGGTCAGGAGTTCAAGACCGGCCCAGCCAACATGGTGAAACCTCATCTCTACTAAAAATACAAAAACTAGTCGGGTGTGGTGATAGGCGCCTATAATCCTGGCTACTCGGGAGGCTGAGGCAGGATAATCGCTTGAAACTGGGAGGCGAAGGTTGCAGTGAGCAGAGATCATACCATTGCTCTCCAGCCTGAGCGACAAGAGCAACAATCCATCTCAAAAAAAAAAAAAAAAAAAAAAAAAAAGACTTGAAAACCTTTCTTGCCAGTAGACTTCTGATGGGAAGCACTGACCTACTGCATTTAGGGTTTCATAAAATACTTCTTATGAGTTGATTTCTACACTGTTATATTTCTACATGTAAATTTACAACCATTTTCATGACATTTTCTACTAAACTAACTCAAGAGTACTTAGAGAAGCTTATTCTTATCTAAATTGTTTGAAACACGAGTATATCAGAATAGCAGTGAGCTACAGAGTAGCCTGTCCACTGATAACAAATAGCACCCTGCACTTGTCAATCTTAAATCAAAACCTAGGTTTCATATAGACAGGGAAGGTGTACCTAATTATCTAAAAGCCAGACAGTTTCTCTTTCATCTTCCAAATTGGTTTATTGAATAAAAATGTTTTTGTGGCTTTTTTCAAGGTAATTGAATGGCTCCTGTAAGACTGTCTCGATATAATTTTATAAGAAATGGTGCATTATAAAGATGCACATACACAAATTTGCCATCTTGTAGATCACATAGACAGTTTAATGAGCTAGAATGTATTTCCATCTAACCGTTTTATCATCATATAGACAGAGTTGGAACAATAAGTTGCCAAAAATATAGGTTCTTTATTGAGATTAGACCAATAAAATAAGTTACCAAAAATATGGATTCTAAGAGATTCTTTATTGCCTCTCAGTTCTCCAAATTAAATCCTGGATAAGGAGAAAGGAAAATAAAGAGGGAAATGATTGAAAAGTCAAAATTTTAGGGTATAAGCAAACAGAAAATGGGCTGCAAATAATGGCAAGTGGTTGAAGAATGATGTAATTTTAAGATAAATTCATCTTTGAGACAGCTAAATAATACTTTTGTATAAAGTCCAATAGATTTTCCAACCCTTTCACAAGGGCTTGCTGTAAAAGGTAGTTACTCAGCAATAAAAAGGAACTCAGAGCAGATTAAATCAACTTCTGGATATATATCTGTGAGTGGGGATTTCTTGAATGAAATCCAAATGTGTTCTTTGTTAAATAAATAGGACAAAAATTATACTGACGCCAAAAAAAAAATGAAAGGTAAAATTGTTAATATACATAGATTAGATTTGGCCCCAGAGATCTTACATCAAATATGACTGGGTTTGCTTGCTTTAGGAAAATTGTAAGGTAATATTTAGAAGAAAATTATACAGTGAGATTCAGCATTTCAATTTGAGAAATACTGCTTTGGTTCTAATGAGCAGATGCTCAACTGTGGATTGAGAGACCTGATGCAATTAAAAGATGTTTTTAGGTGGGAAGAGATCATTCAGCCATGTATCGCCTGTCAAATCTACCTTGGCCAGCTTTCTGTGTGACAGATGCAGTTAGATTTTCCTAAATCTATTCAGCCAGCCATTCATTTGGCAGCAGTTCCTCCAACAATAACTTATAAGACCTGGGTTTGGACGAAGACTTATGTGTTCTTTTTTAATATGACAGAGACCTGATGTGTCATTGCAGTGATACAAACATGGCTGATATTATGATGAACTCCAGTGACTGTTTTAGGAGACAGAACAGAGTCTGAAATGGGAAACAATGGGGAGATATCTGGTTAGGGGACTCTATTGTAATCTAGGTATATATTTTCATCTATAAGTGTATATTTGTAAATGTGATAGATATAGAGAAAATAAATAGTTAATCATCAATGGTGTATCCTAGATGACACTAATATTATTTTTAAAAAATCACAAATGAGGAAGCAGGTGCATCTTGAGTAGGAAAGTGGAGCTGTGAGACACAAAGTCATTTACTGGAGGCACAATTTGATTCAACTGATATGCTTTCCCTGGCCCATTCTTTTCCTTTTCTTTCTTCATTTCTCTTCAGGTCAGAGGCTGGCAGCGTAATTAAAATTTGAATTATTTATGAAGAGCCATTAAAGTGGGTGACTAGCGGATTAGTCAAAGACAGCAGAGCTGACACTAAGCTGCATTTCTTTTACTCTCTCACAATAAACGATACCTTGACTATATGCCTTGAAAATAAGCATATGAAGTTTAAGCTTTTAAAAGAAAAAATATATAAAACATTGTGACCATTTACACTTACAAGCAAACATGAGTATCTGTAGTCATCATAATGTACAAAAGCAGATCTTTTGTGTGTAGATATATACATAAAAAGTGACTTTCTGCCAATAATTCATTAATATTGAATAGGACTATAATTACCAAGGGGAACAATCTTTTGTAGATATATAAAGATAAGACTAGAAATATAAATATACACACATGGGTATTATTAAGTGTGCATTTTCTATTTAGACAGGGACATTGAAACAGTTCAGAAACATCTGTCACTGGCATGATGTGTTGAGAAGCAAAGGAAATGGAAATGGGTGTCTGTTTTCTCAAAAGCATTAGGATCTGTAAGCATAAACATCTTTTTTAAAGATCTGCCAATTAGAATGAGTTTATGGGCTTAATGCAATTTTTAAAAACGGTGACAGCCTACATAATCATGTTAAACTAGAATATTTTCCAAATTTTCAGAGGAAAAAACCCCATATTATGTGTTTATTTATAGCCGTATCTCAGTGTTGGAGGAAAAAACATATTGTAGCATGTTTCATTTTGTGGAGATTGGGGTAATCTTCTCTCTAATTTGTTTGCCATACCCATGTAGATTTTATTCATATCATTTAGAGGAAAATCAAACATACCTCTGCTTTTGCTGCCTTTTTCTTCCTCACTATGAAAAATGGCCAATAATGATGGATAATAGTTCAGATGGTACCAAAACAAAACAAAGGTATATCTATACCTTTTATTTCATTTTACTGTCTCTTTTAAGTTATCTCCAAGTGGAATATGTTACCAGTCTGTTGGAATAATCACTTTTATTTCATTTTTTAAGTCATTCATTTATA